AGCAGAAGAATATATATATAATAAACGCCAATGATTGCGAGTGTAAATCGTAAGTATTATTAACAACAAACAGCACACACATTAATAAATTATTCTGATATATTTACAGAACTATATAAATATATAAATAAATAAACAGATGTTCCCATTTCATACAGCATCTATAAATAAATAATTGTACTGTCTTTTTGACCTATTCATCAAGGGTTTTTGTAAGGTCAAATATTTAAAATTTGTTTATTTGAGTATGAGTAGCGATTAAATACAATTTTAAATAGAATTAAGTCTGTTGGGTAACGTGGGGTAAAACAGCGTAGGTCTTCCTTTATAAATTTTTTTACCCTTTTCCTTTTCGATCGACGGTTTCTCTTTCTTCTCTTCCAACGTATTACTTTCCTCGGCGTGCAACTTGAACCGATGAATTTTGGTCATATTTTTCTTAACTGCTTCTATGTGCTCTTTGATTTTTGCATTTTCGTTTTTTACCTCTTCCACTTTGAGTTTCATCTCCTCATTTTCCTTCATTGTCCTCTCCATGTCGCACAATAACTTTGACTTCAGCAATAATCCCGAATTTTCTAGTAACTGATTGGTTTTCTTACGAATTCGATCGCGTTCAACCTTAAAATAATTCAGACGCTCCCTTTCCTAAAACATTTTATCATTTCAACGCATTTTCTGAATAATTTTGAGATTTCTTTCGGGCACTAATTCTATCGAAAAAAAATCGTAAGAAAATAGAAAAGAAATATTTTTTGGGATGCATTTTGACAACTTTCCGACAACGAAATTGTATAAAATAGAAACAAACAAATCATTAGAGTACTCCATTTAATATGATACCAACATGATAAGGTAAAAGTAGTTTTTAGATGCATATTTGAACCATAGAGAGCCATGACATGAAAAATACTCTGCCTTTACTTAATATTTTCGTTTATAAAACAGATTTCCGATGTGCTGTTCTATTGTAATTCTATTATTTCTGTAATTTTTGCAACTTGAGCTAATTTACCCAGCCTTACCCTGCTGTTTCTGAAGTCTTCGAAAGATATGCTTTCATTTGATATCCCGCACGACCAGGTACAGAAGTTTGTTAACCCTCAAAGATATGTACCTACCCCAACCCAACCTAACCCATTGATGTTTACAGATACTTACTTCTATGAACTCCATTTGAAGTTCTCCCAACAGTAGGTTTTTGTCATCGAGTTCGATTTGCAATTCAGCCAATTTTTCTCGCATGTGTGCCAAACATTGGAGCGCTTTGGTGCCTTTCTTCCTCAAATTGCCAAGTTCGTCATCACGCTCTTCGATTTTGTCTATGTGCATTTGATTTTCGATCTTCAGCTGTTCAAAATCGATTAGATGAAGTCCTTCACCGATTCGATCCATGTCTTCGAGCGTCTGATGTTTATGCTTCACAGCCTCCCGGGCTTTTATATAGGCCAATCTTCGATCAGCTACCTCTTTCCATTTTTTGTACTGTCTCAGCAAGTATTTTTCGACAACCTACAGAATAAATTGTAGTCTGGTTACATTTAAGGATGTTTGGGAGGTATGTCAAAATGCTACGAGACTAATAAAAATTTGGAAGAATGTTCCTCATTCAATTCTAAAACTCCTGTAAAAATTACAAATCGATTCACTAGACCGTTAAAAAGTTATTGAAATTTTATAAAGTCGTAATTTTACGCGTCATTTTATGGAGATTCGTTAACCGAACAAATTAAATTTATTTTTATTAACAGAAAAAAAGCTACCAGAAATTTCAAACTTTTATAATAAGTAACTTGAACTCTGGAGAATCACTTTAGCGTAAGGTTATTCAAATTCACTAAATGGTTATCGAGGAAAAAATGAAAAATTAG